TTACACCCTTTTAGTGAAGAGTGTCAGCAACAGCATAGAGGGAACCCGAAGGCTCAGCAAGGGGACCCAGGCCTACAACTATCCTACACAACAGAAATACAGAACACAAGCACTAGAACATAGTCAGAACTTGCAGAACAGGCAGAGAGAGAGAGTGAGACAAGAGTAGAGTATATAGAGTGAGTCTAAGAGTACAGGACTACCTGGAGTAGACAAGATCAAGACTACAGGACCAGTCTGATCTTGTACACCTATATATACTAAACTACACAAGAGCACTCAGGGAGCATGAGCCACTAAGAATGATGAGCCACAAAGAATGAAAGAAAGGAATGTCAAAGATAAAGGTACAAAGAATGAAGGGATGGATAAAGGGTAAGAGACCATAGAATGATACAAAGAATGAAGGGGTGGTCAAAGGAATGGAATGATGAAGTAAGGAAGGGTAGTAGCAAGAGTCAGCACACATATAGTTCATAGACAGCACCTCTAAGGGACAGAAGTCCTGAGTTCTGGTACAGAAGGGTGTAGAACCCTTGAAACTGAAGGTACAAGAGTAGAGAACCATAACATCACCCCCCCTCTAAAACCAATTGTCCTGATTGGTGAGCATTAGGCTTAGTCAGTGGCTCAGGCATAGGTCAGAACAGTAGGGTTTGGAAATCTGTGAGGCAGAGTTGACACAGAGCACCCAGATGAAGTTGATAGAAGTCTTGGATTGCCTTAGCAGTATGGGTGAGATTCTCAGCAGGTTCCCAAGTGTGTTCTTCAACTGGGTATCCCTTCTAGTGAATAAGGAACTTGAGCTTTCCACACACCAGCTTGGCATCTGCTACATATTCTACTTCATATTCCAGTTTAGAACCAATGAGTTCTGGTTGAGGCAGTAGGGGTCTTTGTTGTGAAGGAAAACCTGGATTGTAGTATTGAGACAGTAGAACCTTGTTAAACACTGAGTGTATGTGCTTCCATGTTGCTGGAAGTTGGAGTTTGTAGGCAGAGGCACTAACCTTCTTTTTAATAACAAAGGGTCCAAAGCACTTGTTGTCCAACTTCTTCATTAAGCAATCTGTAGTCAGGTTAGTAGCTTCCAGCATAACTTTGTCACCAGGCTGGTAATCCTTGGCTGCAGACCTCTTCCAATCATAGTTCTACTTTATAACCTGTACTACCTTTTCCAAAAGAGCTTGTGCATCCTCCCTGGTTCTGTGTATCTGTTCTGTAAAGTCTGTTACAGATTCAGAACTACTGTTCCAGTTCAGAACTGTCCCCTAGTACAGATGTCTCCCATGATTGAGGAAGAACAGGGACTGTCCTGTTGTAGAGTGTTGCCAGTTATTGTGTACAAATTCTGCTAGAGCTAACCATTCAGACTAATCCAATTGCTGATGATTGATGAACATCTGGAGGTAGAGCTTGATCTCCTGATTGACTCACTCAGTTTGACTGTCAGTCTGTAGGTGATAGGTAGTGGAAGGGTTCCCTTGAATTCTGAGAAGCACATACAAGTCCTGTATGAATTTCAACTTGAATTATGGTCTACAATCATGAATGAGCTTCCAAGGGAGTCTGTGCAACCAGAAGACATGATCCTGATAAATGTATGCTATACCTTTAGAAGTGAGTTCTGTTTGGGTCAGAACTGTGTGGACTTGCTTGGAGAATCAGTCAACAATCATACAGATAGTGTTGTAACCCTAAGACTCAGGTAGCTTACTGATCAGGTCCACTGAGACTTCTTCCTAAGGGTGATCCAGGATCTGATACAGATGTAGGAGAGCCCAAACCCTTGTCTGGTGGGCCTTAGTCTGTTAGCATGTATTACAACCAGTCATGTACTTCAGGATTTCCCTCTACATTCTGGGCTACTAGTAGTTCTGAGTAATAAGTTCCTGTGTTTTGTGTTGGCCTGGATGTCCTGTGGTCAGATTGTTGTGATGAGCTCAGACAATGTCCTCCTACAGTTTCTGATCCTTTAGAACATACAGTCAGCCTTCCTAGTAAACCTGTCCATCCTCATCCTCCTCCCAATCCCTAGCCTGTTTCTCTAGTTGCTTCACTATGACTCAGTCCTGTGTGTGTCTCAGAGCTCACTGTATATAGGTGACAAAGTTGACATCCTTGGATTTGAGTTGGATCTCTTGGATTGTCTCAGACACAAAACAGGAATTGTCTAGGAGAACAAGATTTTTGTTATCATTCTCCCCCCTTTCATGACCTGCTTGTCTCAAGAGTAAATCAGCTTTTGTCATTTGTGTTCCAGGTTTGTAGGTCAGCACAAAGTCAAAGTCCTACAGTTCTAACATCTAGCAGGCTTGGTGGTGGTTGAGCTTCTGAGGCACCTGGAAGTACTAGAGATTAAGGTGATCACTCCAAATCTCAAACTTCTGTGCAGCACTAAGGAGATATTAACACTACTCCTCTAGGGAACAGACAATTGTGAGGAGTTCCTTGTCATAGATAGGGTAGTTCTGTTCTGTTACAGAGAGGGATTCTAATCAGAATGCTATTAGACACCACTTTCTGTCAATGAACTGGGACAGTACTGCTCTATTTACAAAGTCAGAAGAGTTGGCTTTGACTCAGAACTTGTCTACAACTGTCAGAACTACTAATACAGGCTTGCTAGTGATGGCCTGCTTGAGGGACTCAAACACAGACTGCTACTAATCATCCCATTACTAAGGAACATCCTTGCTAGTGAGATCATGAAGGGGCTGAGCAATAGTACTGAAGCCTCAAATGAAGCATCAGTAGTAGTTTGCAAACCCAAGGAATGCTTGGACCTGTTTCAGGTTCCAAGGTTGCAGCCAGTTCCAAACTACAGTCACCTTTGCTGGATCCATACAGACCTCTCCTCCACCAATCACAAAGCCCAGATAATCCACTGACTCCTGTGTAAAAGAGTACTTTGCTTCTTAGAGGAACAGTTTATTATCTCAGAGCTGTTGTAGAACCACTCAGATCAGTCAGTAATAGTGCTTGACTGTCTAGGTGAAGATCAGAATGTTGTCCAGATACACACTAACATGCCCCAAGTCAATCAGATCTGTAAGGATGTGATTCATGAATGACTGAAATGTTGCAGGCAAGTTGGTTAGTCTAAAGAACATTACTGTTGGTTTGTACAATCCACAATTGGTTCAGAATGCAGCCTTCTACTCATCTCTGTCTTGGATCCAAATATTATTGTATCCCTATCAAATGTCTAACTTTGTGAAAACCCTGGATGTATGCATCTTATTAATGAGCTCCTGAATCAGGGGGAGCAGGTACTTGTTTTTGACAGTACCCTCATTGAGACAACAATAATCCTGGACTGGGCAGAGCTTCCTATCTTTCTTTTTGACAAAGAAGAAAGGGGAGGCCATAGGGGACTTTGAGGGTCAGATCCAGCCATTCTGAAGATTTTCCCAAAGGAACTTGTTAAGCACCTCCTGCTTGTCTCTGTTGAGCAGGTAGACCTTACAATCCTTAGGTTAGAAACCCTTAGTCAATTCAATTGTATGGTTCTAGGGACAGTGTTCAGGAAGCTGGTTGAATTCCTCTTCACTAAAGACTTCAGGGAACTCTCAGACAAAATCTGGCAGGCTGGGTCTGTGTGTGTTCCAGAGTGGAGTTGTTCTGAGGGTGTTCCAGACTGGTTCTGTCTCAGACATCCTTCAGATTGACTCTATTCCACCTTGACTAGAATATGTATCCACATATCTATCCTAGTCAAAGAAGAACAACTAGTCACCTTTATCAGAACTGTCAGTAACATTAGAAGTGTCTGCATCTACTCAGAACAGTAGTGTAAGGTAGCTGTAAGACTTGGGACACTGATTGAACACAAGTGTCTGCTCTAACCAGTCAATGGTAGGGTTGTGAGCCTTGAGCCATTCAAATCTAATGAAGATGTCTGTCTTTCCAAGGTTGGTGACTCTGAACTCAATACTTTCCTCATAATCCTGAATGGTCATCCATAGTTGGACAAACTCAGTGATCCAACCATTCTGGTTCAGGGTTCTGTCCACA